TTTTAATAATAGATTTTGAGTAACACCTGGAGTTTTAATAAAGGTTTTTTTAACAAGAGGGTTTTTTTTCCCCTCTGCTCTGCTCAGAGAATGTCTCCAACCACTAAATCCTCCTGTCTCTTTTCCCCCAAAGATCATTTCCACGTCTTTGTCGGAGACCTGAGCCCTGAGATCACAACTGAAGACATCAAAGCAGCCTTTGCTCCCTTTGGAAGAATCTCGTAAGTCCTTTCTTAGGGCACATCAGGGTGTGAGCCCTTTGTGCTCAGGGAGTGCCCCTGTGGCAGTGCAGGGGCCACACTCCTGCTCTCACAGCCACATCCCTTATCCCACCTGTCCTGGAAAATCCACACCCTGCACCTGGCAGCCCTTGGCACTTGGGATTTTTGGTGCCAGCCACCCTTAGCCAACTTTTCTTTCTTTTTTTTTTTTTTTTTTTTTGGTGGAATCAAAACTGGGGTGAGACACATTTGTCTTTCAGTCTGGATCCAGATCAATTCCCTTATTGTGAGCCCAGTAAGAGACCTGGGTTGTAGATCAGATTTAAACATAAAAAACAGCTTATCAAACCCATCAGATTAATTCTTGTTCATTAATCATTTCTTATCCAAGATAGAAAACCCTTCCAAATCAAGGCATAGAGAACTTGAAATTGCTGCTTTGAGCACTGGATGTGTATTTTGAAGGAGGTTTGCAGATTTCAGAAATGTTTTTTATTTACAATAGCAAACATTTCTATCCCATTTCCCTCAAAATGAGCCTTTTTTTGAGCATCACCTTGTCCTGAGGCCCCACAAATTTGTCCAAACCCATTGGGTCAGGGAGCTGAGCAGGTCCCAGCAATAAAATTGATAAAAGTAAATAAAACTGCAACATTTCTCCACTGTGAACTGTAGCCTGTGGGAAAGTTCAGAACAGCCAGAAAAAAAAAAAAATAAAACCAGTCAGGAAATCATGGAAGGGAAATCAGAGGGGGCAGAGAAAGCAGCAGAGCCCAGGCACAGCACTGAGAAACCACACTGGGCACAAAGTTCATTAAGGCTCGGAAATTTGAAGCCTAATTAACAATTATTTACAATTATTAACAATAATTCTAACCCACAGAGGAAAATGCCTGAGGAAAATCCCTCTCCAAAGCAGCAGGAATATTTGTTCTCTGTTAGATCTCCCTTCTTCTTTTTGTTTTTTTTTTTAACTTTCCCAGAATTTGGGTCTAATGTCCCAAATTGCCTGGAAAAGCCACTCTGGGGAGCTGAGCTTGAGAGAGAAAGGGGAAAACACTCATCTCTACTTCATCTCAACTGAAAAATTGGGAATAAAAGCTCCAGAATGAGTGAAATCATGAGCAGAGTCAGCACAAAGGCAGGGAGAGGATTTTTGACAGGGATTCAAAGCAGCCAGAGGTCAATAATTACCCACATTTCTCTCTGTGCTGATCACACCTCGAGCTCATCAATAAAAATTAGTTTAGCACCAGTAAAGATGCAAATAAAAAGAAATCAATCAGGAAATATTCCATTTGCCTGGTCACTGGATTTTTTAATTATTTTTTTCCTGTGCCTCGTAGTTCCAATCCCTCCTGTTTGATAATGATGTGTGGTTTTAACACTTGAAATGTGGTTTATTTCTTCAGTCATTTCTGAAATATCAATCTTCCTAAAATTCTGCCCAAAAAGGGGGTAACAAATTGACCTGAGAA